TAAAACAATTCTCGAGCTTTATAAGACGATTTCTCGAGTTTTATAAAGCGATTCTCGAGTTTTATAAAACGATTTCTCGAGTTTTATAAAGCGATTCTCGAGTTTTATAAAACGATTTCTCGAGTTTTATAAAACGATTCTCGAGTTTTATAAAGCGATTCTCGAGCTTTATAAAACGATTCTCGAGCTTTATAAAACGTTTTCTCGAGTTTTATAAAACTGTTCATTTTGTATTCTTGCGGAAAGTTTTGGCTATTAATTCCGTCGTACCGATTTTGACCCCAACATTAGACAAGTCAAGAATTGAAAGAAACCTTTATTATGAAGCAAACCATTGAAAGATGTAAAATACTAGGCAAATCTTCAAAATAGCACATTTCTAAGTTTATGCCACAAAAATAACTTTCAAAAACTAAAATGACCAAAATAACATTTTATCTTTTGAAAATTTTAAAATTTTTTTATTTTTGAAAAATTGAAATCTTATCCCCAGAACTCCCACTCCCCAACTCTAAACCCTAAAATCTAAATTTTAAACCCTAAACCCTAAACTCTAAACCCTAAATCCCACCCCTTAACCCTAAATCCTAATGTCTAAAAATTAATTTATCATTGGGATATAGATTATATTTATCTTTTTTGATAAAACATTAAGTGCTATTTTGATCCTTTTTATTCTTAAGTACTATAATTGTGACAAACTTTTTAGTGCTATTTTAGTTATTTTCTCTAAAATACTTCCATTTTTGAAGAATTTTTTATTCATATAACATAGGCTTTTTAAAAAAAAAAAAAAAACTCATTAATAATTTCACAATATGATGTAAGAACATACACGTTTATCGAATAAACAATGTTATTTTTTACCTATATCTTAATTGAGACTAAAGCTGAAAAACGAATCATTTGGGGAGAGTTCAAACACAGAGCCAATTATCCCTGTATATATAAGTGAATTTCTATATACAAAACCTTAACGGTTTTCATTAACCTTAAGAAGAGCTGAAGAGGAACTGTAAGAACATTTACATGTAGTAGATACTCATAGTCCTTGAACACCGTCGTCCCGTCGCTTCAAATGTATCATTCCCTCACGAGCTAGTGTCCCTCCAAGATCACCTATGATTCGAGATATTCTAACCTCAAGCCCTCTCTGCACTTCCTGAAACAGACTTCTAATGCTTTCTACAAAACGTTCTGGATCAAAGCTGCTACTGGTAGAGGATGACTCTGTAATGATGAAGCCTACTAGAACTTCCACAAACTCAGAAGTGATCTTGGACTGGATTTCCATTAGTTTCTGTCCTGTTGCCACTATGTATCTTTGCAGCTGAAATGTCTCATCTAAGAAATGCTCTAATGATGTCTTTTCTGTGTCATTCACATGCTGTTAACGGAAACTAATCAGTTTATTGTTAATAGAGACAGTAATGTAACTGATATGAGAAAAATGGTTGCTTACCATTCGTTTGCAGATACCATCAATTTTCTCTTGAAGTGATTGATACCTAGTAACTTGTTTGTTGAGCAGTGTAATGAGCAATAACAAAGCTCTTTTCCCGGTATCACTGCTGCTGCTCTTGTCAATCTCTTGACTCTCTTGTTTCCCGATATATCTTTCAAGCATCATCAGCTGTTGTCTAAGCCTTTTGATCTTGAATGAGACTCCAAGAGCATGAAGATCCATTCTCCAAGGTGAATTGTTTGTGCTTGATGGCTGGCTGCTCTCACTTTCCTTACCATCTGCTTTTTCTCTTTTGGTAAACTCATCATTCATTGGTAAGAGAGTTTCCTTTTCAGATTCTTCTTCAGCATCAGATTGAGCAGCTTTCAAAGTTAAATGTCTCAGTTCATCAGGAGAGTATGATTCCCTTCCTTTCTCGGTCACATTTTCCTTTGAACCTTCAAATACTCTTTCTAGTGCTTCTGCTTTTGTGTTCTTTCTTCCAAACCTCGTATTGTTCTTGTGGGACGTCAAGCTTTTGAGCTGTTGTTTCCTTAGGGCAACTGATTCTTCCCTTCTTTGACTTACTAGGCCTTCCTTCTTTGATTCTAACTCAGCGTTCATCAGATGCAAACACAAAGCCTCAATCTTTTCATCTTTTAGTTTCACATGCTCTGCCAAAACTCCTAGCTCCATCTCTTGCTTCTTCCCTATCACTCTAATACAAAAATCTTCCTCACCAAAACTCATATTCTCACGCTTCTTTGGAATTCCATTGACTCCTTCAAAATATGCACCAATGAAAATTCAATATCAATTCAAAATTTGAAACATAAACTATGAAAGAAACCTTCAGGGACTTACCAAGTTCACAAAAACTGTCAGTAGAGTAGGAATCCATGATCTCTGGTACGACATCAGGATCTTTATTCCATTCCACATGTTCATCAATGTGAGTAACCGAACTAACACTGTTTGTTTTAGGCTTACTTGTGGTTTCGAAAGCAAACATGCTTCTTAGTGACCTTCTTGACTTTGAATTTGATCTCCAACTCTTTGCTTCATCTTCATCTTGCTTCGTTTTAGCCTCCATAAGCAACGTATGCATCTCGTTTATACCTAGTTTTGACTTCTTCAACATCACTGCCAATATTCGATCTTTTGCTTCCAAATCTTTCCTCATCTTAACGATTTCTAATGACAAGTCTTCAAGTTCATGTCTCTTAGCATCGATTTGCTTATTTGCACGACTCAGTTCAGCTTCGAGTTGTCTCTGGCTAGAAGCAAGCTCAAGGAATGTCTTCTTTTGCCTCCATAGCTCAGAGGAATGTTCTTGCACATCTCTCTCTTTCATTTCCCTCAGATCTTGATTTTCTTTCTCTACCTTGATCAGTTTTTCTTCTAACTCTTGGCACTTAAGCTTCTCTTCCTCCATTTCTTTATCTTTGGATTGCACTAAACCATCCTTTTCTTTTAACCTTTCTTGCAACTCAGACAAGCTTTGTCTCTTCCTCTTCTCCATGTTCCTGAGTTCCCTCATCAGAGCTTCAACCTGCAGCCTTAGTCTGTACTTGTCCTTTAACCAGTTCTGTTTCTGAGACGCGATTATGCTTACTACCTTCTCGTTAGCTTTAGCATCTTCTTTTCTCACTTTCTTCAACTCTGTAATCTCACAGTTGGCATCCTCAAGCCTCCGAAGAAGCTTACCCCTCTCTTCATCAAAGATTCTCCTAATCAGCAAACCGAATAACATCATTTTGTTCCTCATCTCACAACACTGTTTCTCATCTCCCATGGACATGTTTGTTGCTCTGAATAAAAAACAAAAGAGCAACAACACAAAACTAATCTCTGTAGATATGATGACTAAATCTGAATCTCAAGATGCATTTTCCCTATTATCATCCATCTGACAGGATTAACAAAAACAAAAATACTCCAAAGAATCAGACGAACATCAAATGCAAGAACAAAAAAGGGGTTCAAAGCGAAGCAAAAAGAAAGAAGAACATGACAATATAAGAAGATGACTGAGATCTTAAGCAAGATTTAAACAAAAGGTTGAGTGAAACTGCAAAGTCTTAGCACAAGGAAAAACTGGGAAGAACATGTGGTATGGCATGTTCTATTGTTGGGTGGGAGTTACATAAGCCTCTTTATTCTTCTTTCCAGATGGTAATGGCAGAGGAATAAAGTTAGGTAAATAAAAAAAAATATCTGACACACATGTAAATAAAAACACTGTCAAAAGAATCATGAAATGTAGGATGATCCTTACAGATAGATAAAGGCGAGAAAAATGTATGCTTCTCCTGGTTTTCTGTTAACACAAAGGCCCCTAGATGCTAGATGTGTCCCCACCTGCTCTTACTTTTTCATTCCAATAATTTTATTTATTTCATTTCTCTATCCATTTGGTTGTTATGGAGATCAAGATCAAAACTAGATTCATTCTTCTTCCACAGTAACAATTAATAACTGAAATAACTTAAAAGTTACAAAGGGTGCAGAGATAGAAAAGTGTGCTGTATATGTTTTGCTTAGGTAAATACTGTTCCTGAGACATAAATACTCATCATCATTCATCATTCATCATCAAAGCTGGTATGAATTGATTGATGATTTAGAAAGAAAAGACTTGTAAACCACAAATGTTTTCAAGAGATATCTAAAGTGGACCAAGTAAACGCAATCATATTCCCTTTCAGTATCAACAATAACACCTTTGAGAGATTTGTAGTTTACACAAAATCTTGACATTTTCATATTTTGTTTCTTATAAAGGGGCCCCTTCGTTGAGGCATTATTCAGAACACTTGAGAACTATATCATTCACATGTATTAAAAATTCTAAAATTTACTATATCCATCCCAATCAAATAGTGAAATACAAACGAATTTCCATATACATACATCACAATCTAAATGCATTCTTTTCCAAAATGAAATCGAGATTTCCGAAGCTTCTATACAAATGACAGAGACAAATCAACTAGTTAAGATTGATATTCAGAGAGAGAAAGAGATAAAAGTAATGTAAGGATGAAGACAGAAGTACCTGTAATTAAAGTGTTGAATCATAGAAGAAGGTTTCGTGAGGAAGAAAGGCATTGTTTATATTAAAGGTCATGATGATGAAGACAACAACTAAGCAAAAATGCAAAAGCTTCTCTCTTGGGATCTTTCTTCGAGAACTAATCAAGCTTTTTTTTTCTCTCCCTTTTGATGAAATCTGTAAAGCTGAGAACTTTGATTAAAAATAAATCAGAATTTGAAGTAACTATTTTTTGCCAAAAGAAAAATAAAACAACAATATATAATATTAATTTAATTGGCCGTCGATTTGTAGATCGTGAGATTTTTAACGGCAAAAAAATCAATCACGTGCAGTTTATGCTACACCCGCCCCCACCGGATCAAAATACTAGAATTTTTACAACCGAGTCGGTTAAAGAATTGTCAACAGATCCAACGGTCAATACTAACTCTGACTAGCGTGACTTGACTTGACGTGGCATGATCTCATCCGTCCATTTAAATAATTCGTTTAGATTTTGAGTGGAACCCTAAACATTTCACAGATCCACTTTCTGGAAGAAACTCGAATCATTTCTCTCGTTTTTGATTTGAGATATTGTGAACCTCGTCAGTGATGGGAGGTCTAGCTATGGAGGAGATGCCGTTATCGGCGTTGTTCGAGGAAGCAAGGAAGATTCATCTCGCGGCTTCAGAATCTCGCGCCGATCAGGTCGGAAAGCTTCTACCTTTTTGTACGAATTCGATTATACATGTGAAATGGGTTCTTCCGAATCGGGAGTTTTACTGAATCGGAAGACGTTTCTGTTTGGTTAGGATGTCGTGAAGAAAGGGTGTGAGATGTTACACAAGTGCGAAGACATGGTCGGGAAGCTGGGGCTTTTCTCTTCTAACGAGACTAAAGAAGATATCAGCACCAACAATCTCAAGTATCTTTTGGTAATGCATTATTACTCGAGTTTCTCTTGTTTTTGGCTTTTTGAGTACGTGTCTGTAGAGTTTGAACTAATAGCTTCTTTGGCTGCTTCAATTGCCTTTATAAGCGACAGATATCATAAGATTGTGTTTGTTTTGAACCGACATTTCTACGAGTAGAATCTTTAATACAAGTTCATAAAATGGTTGAAATGAATATAGCTTTCTTCGCTGCTTCAATTGCTTTATATTTTTTAGCTACTCAAGTTCAGATTGTGCACTCTTCAATTGGACTTATCGGTTGCTCTGTCTTGAGAGCATAAGGATGTTTGTTTTGAATAAGGCTTTGATTATAGGTACCTTTCTATCTTGCGGAGTTGACTGAGAAAATCAAACAGGAGGAGAGGATTCCGATTGTCAAAGCTTCGTATGCCAAGTTGAAGGTAAAATTTTTATGCTTAGTGTTTGCGCTTGTTGTATCCCTTTGATGTTAGTGCTAGTGGGTATGAGCATTTAATGTTTTGTTTTTAAAGATTGAATGTATAGTCTTTATATATGTGCGTAGGAGTTCTTTTCCTTCTGTGAGGCAATGGAACTTGTTCCGGAAGAGGAGTTAGAGGCTTATTCACGAGGAGGTTCTGCTCCACCTGCAGATAGGAGAGCTCTCAAGGTAGTTTCACCCAGCTCTGTTCTTGTGTTTGCATTCTAACGAGAAGAGAGTTCTATGCTTTTTTTTCGGATTTTGAAAACCTATAAACTGTCTTTTCCATGTTTTATAGATAGCTCGGTTCAAGCGTCAAAAGGCTGCAGAGGCGAAGCTCCTTGAAATCAAAGAGAGGAAGGAGCGACGTGGACGTTCAAAAAAGGCTGCTGCCTTGTCAACTCCGGTTGAATCTGGAGAAGAAGACATTCCAGATGATGACAGCGAAGAAGAAAGAGATGTATGTCCACAGTTTAGTTGCGCTCTGTGTTTTTTTTCGTTTTTTTTTTTTGTAAATCAGAATTCTGCTAACCTTTTTGTTGTTTGGATTTTCTTTTGCAGGCGTGGCTCGCCACAATAAACTTGGCTATTTGTAAGGTTTGTCTAAAACTCATTAGTGGCATGTCACGAGATGTGGCTTTTATCTGATTGTTAAGCTTCGTTGCAGGCTATTGATTTGTTGGAAATGCTAAAGAGAGAAGAGGAAATGCTCTCTGCAATCAAGGAAAAACAGTTGAAGGTAAGTTTGCTTTCTTTCTTTCTTTCTTTCTTTACATGGTAATGACTCTTTGACAAGCATATGGCGAAATAAGAAAATGTTGTTATGATGATGATCAGGATGGAGATGATGTGTTTTCTAGGGATGCTCTTGATGATCGCACAAAGAAAGCTGAAACATGGCACAGAGATGCTGCTGCAAGGGTACAGTACTCTAGACCAGCACAGCCAATCACTTGCGCCACATTTGCACAAGATGTGTTGGAAGGTAGAGCTTCAGTATCACAGGGTCACGAACACAAGCACAACCAACCTCTCATATTCGGTCCAGCAAGCATCGTGAATGGAGCTCTTTCTACGGAGAGAGAGAGGATGATAGCTCAGGTTTTCCAACCAAGTCACAGGTAAACACAATGTCATACTCATCGCAAATCTTATACCTTCGAAAAGGTGATTAAAATTTGGGGGTTTGTAGGATGCCGACGATGAGCATAGAAGATGCTGGGTTAACAGAGATGAATATAATGAATGATTGGCAAGAGCAGACGAAGAAAGCAATTGAAGAAGCAACCACCTCATGGCACAATGACAAACCATTTAGAAAAAAGGAAGAGGATGAAGAAGATGATGATGAAGACGAAAATGCTGTGATGAAAGCTAGAGCTTTCGATGATTGGAAGGACGATAATCCTCGTGGTGCAGGTAACAGTAAGCTCACTCCTTGTGGCTGAACGTGACATTGAGACTTTCTCTCCCTCTTTGTTTCTTAATTCAGAGACCTCTTTCACTTATGTCTTGCAATGTAATCATCTTTCTTTTGTAAGCTGTAGACTGTGCTACAGATTTTACTGGAATAACTTCTTCTTTTTTTATAAATTCCTTATCTTATTAAACTTGAGCAAGAACATAGTCTTCATGAAGAAGTCTTGTTAACATTGTAGGAACTAGGAACATAATAATGAAAATCATAAGACGACATAGAACAATTCCTTGCTAAAACATTAGCCACTCTATTTGGATCACGGCCACCCATTGGAAAGAAATTTCTTGAATCTTTCCAGCCCACCATCTTATCTTTCTTTTCCAATTATACAAATGGAAATGTAGAGACTTATCATTGAGGCTCTCTATGGCTTGTTTGCCATCAGATTCCAGAATAATCTTCATGTAACCCTTGCTCCAGCAGTATTGAATGGAGCCTGAAGCTCACTCTCCAAAGGAGAACCAACTTTAAATCCTTTAGCTTGCACTGTTCTTTGATAAACTCCTTTCGCATTTCGGACTAACTTGTTGTAACCACTTCTTTCATATTAATAAAAGGAATGTGTTCTTTTTCTGCAATTTAATTCACCAAATCAAAAACCCACGGGTCAACCCTCCAAGTCTAAGTCAAGCCGTAATATAGGCCATCCGTGTATTGATGACGTGGCAGCCGTTTACTATTTCACAGAATTTAAAACTACGTCGTTTTGATATTAAAAATTAAATTAAAAAATTGAATCCAACAGGATTTGAACCCAGCAACACAACACAACTTGTGATGCTCATAAACCAACTCGACTATCAGATACATTCATAGATTATTAAGACGAAACCGTATATAAAGAAATTATTGCTGTGACCTGAAACATTTAATTTAAAAAGTGAATGTGCGGGTATTCGAACGCATTACCATGGCCCAATTTAACAAGCAAGCAAACCACCTCGCCCGTCAGAGATACTCGTTCATAATTAACAACGACGGATCATATATATAGATGTGTTTCTGTGGCCTGAATATATACAATCATCGAAACTTCTTCCCCTCTTTATTTTTGCTTCTGTGACCTGAAATAAAATGATAATCGAACAATATAACATCTTACACATATACACACTTAGCATCAGAAGTATTACACATAAATTTAATAAAAGTTTTTCACATAAGTCTAACAAAAGAAACATATAAGTTTAATAAAAAACACATAAGT